GCCAGCACCTGGTGCCTCATTGGGCCATGCTTTGGCCATCTTCCCTCTTCTTCTCTCCACCCCTACCGGGGCCCTCCCTGGCAACCGTTCTTGGTCTCAACTGGCCAGGCCCTGCTGGTCTATCACTGAACTCCAGTCCCTGTACCTGAGGAAATGCCCCAGCGCCCCCTCCATGGAACTGTGGTCTCTGGCTTCTTTGTGTGTGTGTCTCAGTCTGTCCACCTGCTGTCACAAAGTGCGGTTGGCTAGGGGCTTAAACAACAGGCTTTCATTGCTCCCGGTTCTGGAGGCCAGGAGTGCCAAAGTCAGGGGGCCAACATGCTCAGGATCTGGTAAGAGCCTGTTTCCTGGCTTGCAGATGGCCACCTTCTCACCGCGTACCCCCATGGCTTTTCATCACAGCTTGCATGTGGAGAGATCTCTATCTTCCTCTTCTTCGAAGGGCACCAGTCCCATCATGGGGTCCCACTTTCGTGGAATCACCCCCCAAAGGCCCTGCCTCTGGATATTGTCACATTAGGGGTTAAGGCTTCAACATATGAATTCTGGGGTGGACACAAGCATCCATTCGTAACTGTGCATTTCTTCCAATCGGGTCTTCCCTGGATGGGCTCTGTCTGGAGGCAGTGACAGCTGGGGGAGGCTGGCCAGCCTCAGGGAAGAGCCCTGGGGAAGAAGGCGCCCCTCTTCAGAAGACCGTGGATACATAATGTAACCTCGCTGGCCTCAGTTTCCTTGTCTATAGAAATGGAGGTGATGGAAAAAACCCCCAGTCATTCTTGAAGTCTGAGAGGCCCCATGACAGGGCAACTCTCAACAGGGCCTGTACCCGCAGAGGACTTTGCTTATGGTAGCTAATAGCCCCGTGTGGGCTCATTTAATCCTCTAAAAAATGCCACCAGGCAGGTGTTTGCATCCCATCTTATCTTTAAGGCACCTGAAGCTCAGAGAAATGAGGTGGCTGAGGCAGCATTATCACCGCAGAGAGAAGAGAGAAGGGTGGCTGCAGACAGGGAAGGTGTGTGGCGGCTCCAGACACCTCACTCCGTGGCAGGGGCATGTTGTCAGCTTTTCAAGGAAACAGCTGTTGTCCCTTCTAAGCAGATGTTCCCCACCTGAGATGTCAGGGTAGGGGAACTCCCCACCACCATCACTGCTCCACCGCACAACACACACGAGGGGGCACACTGTAATATACACAGGGACATGCACATGCATACGTGCAGAGGGATACACTCACATACATACCTCAGAGGGACATGGGAACATATACCAGTGGACACACAGGACATGAAGACACACAGGGACACGGAAACCAAGCACAGCATACAGAAACACAGGAGCATAATCCACACATGAGGACGCAGAGACACAGAGATATGTATACATGGGGGACACACAGGAAAACATACACGGAGACATACACACAGATCGGGACCCATACACTAACAGGAACACACACATAAAGAGACACAGAAACACATGGATGCTCTTCCATATGAACACACTCCTGTGGCCCCAACAGTCTGGTTCTTCTGAGTCACTGTCTCATAGACCCCAAGAAGTATGGTGCTACCCTATCCTGGGTCCATCAGGTTCTGGGTCTCTCTTACAGCTCTACCCAGGGGTGTTGGTTCTGCATGAAATGCTGAGGCAAAGGGACTTCATGCCATCTTTAGACCATGACCCACAGTGCTATGGGGTTGAGGCTGTGACCCACTGCAGCCCTCCCTGTGTCCCCTGGAGGACCTGACAGGTGGGCCTCACCAGAAGTTGGTGCTGGAGACCAGGGTGGTGAGCATTTACAAGAGGGACATCTCCTGGGCAGGCATGGGCCTCCCAGCTCTACCCTGGTCCTGTGTGGGCTGGCAGGGTGTCCCTGCAGAAGCCGGGGTTCTGAGAGGAGGCTCAAGTGATGGCCACAGGGCCCAGCAGCCCCTCGAATACCTCAATGAAAGGGCAGAGCAGCCCCTCACAAACTCGCTGTTGGACCTGCAGCATCTCCATCCTTCCTTTCATTTCTGTCCTCCTCCCCAATCATCTATCCTTGGCCTCTCTCTTTCCTGAAGTGGTGTCTGTGCAGATAGGGATTTGTTGCTGTTTCTTCATGTAGCCTCAGCAGCAAGGATCCCTCCTCAGCCTAGGGCTTCAGGCTGGGCTCAGAGCAGGGCCAGGGCCAGGCCAGCTGACCTCCAGAGCCAACAGGAGGCATCTGTTTAGTCAGGGCCCTAAACTATGCGTCAGGGTGGGACCACCAGCCTTAAGAGTCTGTGCCTCAGGACCACCCCTGGGCCTGGGGAAATGTGGACAGAGACCATGTGATGCCTGGACCCCTTCTCCCTTCCTCTCCCCTCACCTGCTGGTCTGTTGCTCCCCTGACTCTGGCCCCTCTGCCAGGCTCCCTTTGTGGATTTCCCGGTGTCATAGTTGAGAGCCTATTTTCCTGGGGTCTGCCCATTTGCTGGCTATTTTCTGTTTGGGCACTCTGGAAGGCCCCAGGGTGGGCTGGAGTTCAGAAGCAAGGCTCGGTGTGTCCTCGGGAGGGACGGCAACTGTGAGGGTTAGCGGTGACATGCATGACCCATGTGCCCTGGACAGCCCTCGAGATAGAGTGTGGCACAGAGCAGGGCTAGACTGGGATACTTTGCAGGCAGTCCACTGGCCAGGAAGTGTTGGGGCCCCCTTGGCTTTGAGGCTTCTCTTAGATGAGGATTTGCACAGGCAAGAATTTACTGGGAGGGAGTTCACTGTCACAGCACCAAAACAGAGTCTGCCTATCAGAGCCTCCCATGGCTGCAGTCTGAGCCCCAGGGGGCGTATGTGCTCCCCACAATCAGACATGTGTCCTCTCGACACAGCAGGGCAGGTGTGTGGGCTGCCACAAGCACCAGGTTAACACTCAGTGGTCTTGTGGAGGATGAATGTGCCACTTCAGCAGAATGTGTGAGCAACAGGACCTTGCAGGGAGAGAGAGTGAGCTGACTGAGGGGTGGAGGGTGGTCGCTGCTGGGACTCTGGGTGCTTCTGACCTGCTGGCCGAGGGGATGAGTCCACTGCTGAGCTGGATGGAGGGGGCCCTCTGCTGGTGGTAGCCAGAAGCTAAGCCCCTTTGTATGGAGGCAGGATCTATGTCCCCTCACAGAAGGTCCCTTCTGCCCGCTGGGACCCTCTGCTGTGTCCCTGCTGAAGAGGCATCTCTCCATTCCCCTGGGACTTCAGGGTCCCAGGAGCCTTCGTAGACCTGCTCCCTGATGAGGACCCAGCAGTCAGGCTTGCCCTAGATTTTGCTCCAGGGTCTCCAGTTCTGTGTGGACGTTGCTCCAGGTGCACACACTTTCTTGCTTCCGTGGGTGCCAGTGCCAGGTGGGCTGTCTGCCCATGGCAGGTGGGGAGAGGGTGAGTGATGATGAGTCATGGGCTTAGCACGCAGGCAGCCTTCCAGCCCTTCCACTTACACTCTCTCGTTTAAATCATTTGCTCTCTGGAGCCAGGGGCCAGCTGGCCTTTGTGAGCTGAGCTGAATGTGACAGTGACGTGTGGCCTTTGCGCCTGGGAATGTTGGGGCTCAGCCCAGGATACTCTTGCTTTTGGGGTAGATCTCCTGGCTCCAGCTCTTGCAGAGAATATCGGAGAGTTCACGGAGGCAGAGTCTCCGTGAGAGGACTCTAAAACTAGGTGGCAGCAGAGCCAGGCGTGTGGGCCTACCAAGCAAATGGGGGGATGGAGATTCCTCAAGCTGGCGAGATGCTGTGGGTCTGTACCCACTCCAGTGCATGTACCTGATCCTCCAGGCCCTTCTCTGGCCATCACAGTGAGGAGTGGGGTATCACCCTTTCGGGGGGGCCTTCCCTGAAGCCAGGGTGGCTAGGTTCCCGCTAAGCATCTGGTCTCTCTTCCATGGGCTTGTGAGTTCCTACTGACAGAGACTGCTAAGTATCTTTGCTTGCTCACTCACTCTGCTGCCTGGGATTGGTGGAAAACCTCTCTGAGGCTCCCATTTCTCATCTGTGAAATGGGCATAAGGACCTGCCTACAGCATGTTGTGGGGATTACATCTGGTGATGAGGCCATGTGCTCCCACAGCACACCTGGAATGTGCACGGGGAAAGGGAACGTTCGCCACGTCAGCCTCTCATCTTGTCTGTATCCTTGCCATGCCACAGCGTTGACCCTCATGAGGTGCCAGGCGCTCTTTTTCAGATGAATTACTGACTTACCGTGGTGTGCCATTCAGCAGCCCCTGGAGCTGGGTGAGCCAGTGGGAGTGTTCTGGTCTTTTAGATGAAGCACCTAGGTGCGGGGGCACATGGCTTGCTGGCAGACTAGTGCCTCCCATCCCCCTGTTCAGTCTAGATCCACAGGGTCCTTGGCAAGTCACCTCAGACCTAGGCTACAGGTATCCAGGCATCCTCTGTGAGCTGCTGCCCATCAGTGGGCACCGACCTGAGGAAGCCCAGAGCATGAGGTCCCAGCTGTGGGCCCCCCAACCGACCTCCTGCTGCTGTCAGAACTAAGCCCAGCTTGTTCCATGCCTGCTGGGCATCCCCTTCTTGGAGTTCTCTGGGCCTGCCTCCTCCCTGCTCACCAGGCTGCCCTGTCTATGCCTGGGGCTCCCAGCTCTTCTTGCTGTGGGCCTGTATTGTGATGGTCCTTCTGTGAAAATGTCCCTCACATGGCTGGCCTCTTACCCATTTTGGGTCTCCAGTTGCTGCCCCACCCCACGGAGGCAGGGACTGCCCTGCTCACAGGAGTTTCCTGCCATCATTTTCCTGGCAGACCATTGACATAGCTGTAGTATCCTCCTCCCCAGCCTCCAAGCCAGTGGTTGGTACCCTGTCCACTCATCCTCCTCCACAAGCCAACCACCCAAGAAACTTTGCTGAACAGAGGAAAGTGTAGTGTGTGTGTTTGCTGAGACGGGGAGGCTAAGGCAGTGAAGGCCTGCCCACCCCACCCCGCTGGCCTGCTACCCCAACTCGAGCCCTCGCTCCACCCCACAGCACCGGCAGCTGCTGAAGGACAGTTTCATGGTGGAGCTGGTGGAGGGGGCCCGCAAGCTGCGCCACGTCTTCCTGTTCACTGACCTGCTCCTCTGTACCAAGCTCAAGAAGCAGAGTGGAGGGTGAGTGACCACAGGGCACCCATCCCACTGTGTGGGGAGGATCTTGGGGCCAGTGGAGGGGAACAGGGCTGGTTTCATAGATGAAAGAAACCTAGCTTTTTTTTTTCCCCTTGTGCAGTGAGGCTGAAAAATTTGATAACTGTGTGGCCAGATCACTTTGAGTTACGTTGTTTCCAGCTGGCTGTGATGCCAGGCTCAGGGTTAAAGGACAGGGTTAAACTCCTAGGGTTAACAACCTGGGGATGGTCTAGGTCAGGATCAGTGACTGCCCTGTCACCTCCTAGAGAGTGGAAGGGGAACCCACCTGATGGGGTACTATTGGGAGACTGTCACGTCATGACCCAGGAAGAGAAAGTGACAGTTCAGGGAGCTGCAGGGTCTGGTGAAGGCTGGCAAGTGAGTGAACAGGGGGTGGCATCACTAAACCATTCCTGTACTTGGTCTCCCCAGACCTGGTAAGAGCTACTAGATTATTCTCAGCCTAGGCTGCAACCCACCTCCCCCAACACACACACACGCGCGTGCGCACGTGCACACACACACTCTCCTCCTCCTCCTCCTCTTGGAGATCAGACCACTCGTTGTACCAGCTGGAATGGAAGAAAGAAGTCATGTTGGGAAAAATTAGAACTGGGTTATTTCCCCTTTTCTGCCATTACCGTACTGAGCAGGTTTAAACAGCCACCTCAGAAGAGAGCCTCAGTTTCCCCTTCTGAGGCAGTGGATTACCTGGTAGATCTGTAGCCTCTCAAACTCTACAGCTCTGGGGGTATCTGCAGTCCTGTCCGTGAGGCCCCTGCTGTGCTCCAATGTCAGGGAACCTGTGAGCCACTACCATCAACCCAGGATATGGTGGATCAGGCCTAAGTCACGCATGCAGAGTGTGCATTTCTAGGGGCTATCAGGGCTGAGGGCTGGGTCACCAGTGTCTGCCGATGGCCTTATGCCAGCCTGTCTCATGGACCACAAGCGAGGTTTTAAGGTCATGTAAACTGCAAGCCTCAAACTTAGGCTTTTCCAGCTCCTGAGAATGGTGATGTTTAGCAAAGGAAAACAGTCAGTGTGTTAATGTGCTGTTTCCTCACCCAGCAAAACCCAGCAGTATGACTGCAAGTGGTACATCCCCCTCACGGATCTCAGCTTCCAGACGGTGGATGAGTCGGAGGCGGCTCCCAACATCCCCCTGGTGCTGGACGAGGAGCTGGATGCCATGAAGATCAAGATATCCCAGATCAAGAATGATATCCAGAGAGAGAAGGTGAGACCAGTTGGGAAGGAGCAAGGCTAGGCTCTGCAGCCTGCGTGGCATCAACCCATTGCATATGAGTATCTGGGTACCTGACCCACTTCTGGCATCTGGGACCAGCTGGGAGCCCTACGAGCCTGCTGTCAGGCCTGGAGCCAGCCATCCAGCACATGGGATGCAGGAGGTGCCTGGCTACATCGATGGGCAGAGAGTCCCAAATAGGGGGATCAGCCCCTCTAGGTGTTTTGGACTGCCCTGGGCAGCTGCCTGGTTGTTTCTGGAAATATTTACAAGACTTGAGGAACAGTGCCCAGCCAGAGCAGGCACCATGCCGTGGCCACAGGCAAAGTCGGTCCCCAGGAGATAGGGCTTCAGCTCAGGGCTGCCCAGCTGAGATGGGCTTAGCAGGATGGGCTCTTGCCCTCCCGCACCTGCTGGCCTCTGCACTGCAAACCATGCAGGCTAAGGAAGGCTCTGGGAGCAGTGGGGATGAGACAGGCAGGAGGGGGTAGCTCTGGGCCCCCAGAATGAGAACATGACCATGTGGCCTCTCCCAACAGAGGGCAAACAAGGGCAGCAAGGCCATCGAGCGGCTGAAGAAGAAGCTGTCGGAGCAGGAGTCGCTGCTCCTGCTCATGTCCCCCAGCATGGCCTTCAGAGTACACAGCCGCAATGGCAAGGTGAGCACCCACCGCAGTCCCGCTGCCTGTGCCCCCTGGCTCCTGTGCAGCCTCGACAACAGCAGCCCTTTTCCTCTGGGGTGCATTCACGTGCCAAGAGGGGCCGGTTTGGTGTAGCACACCTAGGCCCGTGTATTCCTCTAACCTGGGCCTCGGGCTGAAGCCCCCAAATTGACTGGTAGCTGGGAGATAGCAGGGTCTCCAACAAGTGAACAGGGAGGGGGGGTTCGCACGTTTGTGCAGACCCAGCCCTCGGTACAGGGATTCTGTCCAGGGACCTTGTGGGCCTGACAGGTACCTTCTCTCCTGATCTGGTTCCTGGTGCTGTCTGGAGCCCGGGCCTCTCCCTCTGTGGGCATCACACAGCTGTCAGTGTGCAGCCTAGAGGGGCAGCTGGTGGGTTCTGTGGGAGCCTTGTCTCTGAGACACAGCTCGGGGCTTGTGTGTTGGACGCAAGGTGGCCTGGGTGGCATCGGCCCTCACCTCTGCAGATCCCACCTGCTAACCTTCTCTGTGGCTCTAAGCCACAACGTTTCCTGCCCTGGCCTAGGCAGTCCAGGCAGGGGGCTAGTGCCAGAGGCGGAGCTGCACAGGGCACGGGATCTGTGGCCCAGAGCCTAGCTGGCGGGAAGGGTAGAGAGTGCCAGAAGCACAAGCCAAGCTGTGAGCACACTCAACCACCAGGCTCCTGCTGGCCCCTGGCACCAAGGTACATGTGCCCTGGAGGGGTGTACTGCAGGACTCCACGTGGCCAGTGACAGGGAGCGGTGCCTGAGCCAGAGTGGAGGCAACCAGAGTGTATTCTCCTTCTCGCCCCCCAGAGTTACACATTCCTCATCTCATCTGACTATGAGCGTGCTGAGTGGAGGGAGAACATCCGAGAGCAGCAGAAGAAGTGTAAGTGGCATCTGCATGAGAGACCTAGAACCTCAGGGCTGGATATTCATCTCCTCCTGGGGTTTCAAGCCTTTTCTTTCTTCCCAAGGGGCTGGGCGGCAGTGTTCTTATCTGACTGAGATGCTATGTGGAACTCTGATTCAGAAAATGTATTGGACAGGAGGTCTTCCTGGGGCCCTGCCCTCTCTGCCCCTTTCCTAGGCCCTCCCCCACGTTCCTTGTGCACCACTCCCACCTGCTTTCTGACCTTCCTGTGAACTCTCCATCTCTTGCAATGCCTTCCCTAAATTCCCCATCTGCCTCCTGAAACTCCCTATCATGACACTGACCTACCCCCCGTAGCCCCCTGTGCCTTTTTCTGCCCCACCCAGGCTTTCCCCACCCCCTAGCAGGTGCTGATGCCAAAGGGGCCCTTGGCTGGACCTGTTTGGGCAGCCACACGGTGCTGGCCCCACTCCCTGCCCAAGGAGCCAGCACCTGATCACCCTTAGGAGAGGGTGCTCCCTCCTCTCTGGAATGATCCAGTCCCTGGGTGCTTCCCTCTCTTAGCAGTTGTCTCCTTCTCCTGAGCTCAGAGCTGCCCCTGGTCCTGTCAGACAGTCTTCAGACAGGTGGGCAGGCAGGCTCTGCTGAAAGTCCTGGGGTATAGCTGCTTGGGTCCCTCCTCTGCACACCAGCTGTATGATTCTAGATTCCTGAGCCATCCTGGCTCAGAGGTTCCGAGGTGCGCTGTGTGTGCCACTGTTCTGAGAGTGCCTGCAGAGAGAGCCAGGCGGGGAGCACTGTGTCCCAGCTCGGCTGGGAGCGCCTCACACGTCCACCCTGTCCTGAGCTCCTGTCCTCCCAGGCTTATCATCCTTCCTCTGCTGAGCCATTTCCCCCCTGCATCCTGGGGCACAGGGTCTTCCTGGCAGCGCTGATGGCTGATGCCTGCCACTCGCCCATGCTCATGTCCCGGGGTTCAGACCCCAACCATTTGCAGCATGGCAGCGTCTATTCCCTGCTCAGTGCTGTAATGGAAGTAAGCTCCTTTTCCTTGCCTGGTGGAGAGACGAGTGCCCTCGTTAGCAAAGTGCAGGGCAAGGCTATGGCGGGTCTCTGTGTGGGGATGCCCCACGGGAAAATGCTCCAGGTCACCCTCTCACAGTTGCCCTGTTCTCAGGTAGCATGCCAGCTCTTGGATTTGCAAGCCTTACGCTAATGTGTCCTGCCCCCTCAGCCCAGCCTTGGCCAAGGCCACGCCTTGCTTGGCCACTTACCAGCTCCTCCCTTGGGAGCAGGTCGCCACCTCCTGGCCACCACCGCTCATCACTAGCGTGCGGGGAAGGTCCTGGGCAGGGCCATCAGAGGATACCCTCCGAGTGTCCCCAGGGGTCCGAGGAGCCGTGCAGACTGGTTGATACACCTGGGTTCTGCCCTCTCAGGTTTCAAAAGCTTCTCCCTAACATCTGTGGAGCTGCAGATGCTGACCAATTCGTGTGTCAAACTTCAGACCGTCCACAGCATTCCACTGACCATCAACAAAGAAGGTGGGCTGTCCTCCCAAGGGCTGCTGTCCCTTTCTGATGTCAGCACTGTGTTTGGGGCCATGAGGTTCTCGAAGGAATGTGTGTGCTGCTTAGGGCCTCTTGGCCTTCCCAGGAGTTGATGGGATGGGTCAGGGCTGGTCTGTCCCCAGCTACTGGGTGGTTGAGGAGACCCATAGCTTTGTGCTGGTCACACGACACATTTCAGACCCTCTGGGCTCTGGGTCTGGTCCCACTCCCCTGTGCCCTCAGCCAGCTGCCTCCCACCCACACCTTTGGTCATGGTGCATTTTGTGTTCATTTGCACACACACTGTGTACACTCATTTCCACTCACAGGTATATATACTTGTTCACATGCACACACACGCACAACATCCATATCACATGCCACCCCTCCCCTTTTCTGTCCTGGGAACCTTATTATGTTTCAGCTCAGTCATTGGTCTGCCCATGTTGTGAACCCAACTCAGATCCCAGGGTCCCTGAGACAGTGGATAGGTTTCTGGTTCGTGACATCACCCAGCCCCGTGCTGAGCAAATGGCAGTCACATGGTGCTCCCCTGCAGATTGATGTTTGAAGCGAGTGCATCACATGCCTCCCTCTCTCAGGAGCACAGATACTCACCTCTTTGCTCTCTTGCACAGATGATGAATCTCCAGGGCTGTACGGGTTCTTGAATGTCATCGTCCACTCCGCCACCGGCTTTAAGCAGAGTTCAAGTAAGTGGCTGGTTTGGGGAGGAAGGTGGCAGGGCCCTGAGCTGGAAGCTGCAAGGAGCCAGGGTCATGGCTCAAATTATCATCAGATGCCTTCGACCCTTAACGCTGTGAGGTCCTGTGCAAGTTGACACCCAGCGCAGACTGTTGGGTGTATCTGGTCTCTGGACCAGATGTGTGAGTCGCTGAGTTGCCCCCTGCAGGCGGGTCTTGTAATTTCAGGCACTGGAGTCCGCTTCAGACAGGAAAATGCAGTCTGGGTTCCAAGCTCTGGGCTGCGGGTAGCAGCGCCTTGACTCAGCCAGCAGAGTAGATCTGGCTGCTGACAGCTAAATGGATACCGTTTTCCTCCCACCCCTCTGAGGCTGGGAGCGCCTCTCAGCTGCCCAAGGTCTCAGAGCAGTGGGGGCTGGTTGCATTGCAGTCCAGGGCAGCACATGCTCCATCCCCCAGCAGGCCACCTCCACGCAAGCCCTTGGGGCCCCTTGTAGGAGGACACAGGTCAGTGTGCTGCTGACCTTTCCCACCGATGCTGCAAAACTGAACAAGACATCGCCAACAAGCCAGCCTAGAAGACAATATTTACTAACCATATCTATGTATGCAATATGGGACTTGTATTCAGTGCATTTAGAGAACTTTTAGAAACTCAGTGTGAAGGAGACAACCCAGTTTTTAAAAATGAGCAAAAGATTTGAATAGACACTTTACCAAAGAAATACAAGTAGCTAATTAGCACATGAAAAGATGCTTGTGGTTGTAGAGAAATGTAAATTAAAACCACAGTGAGATCCCACTTCACACCCCCCCAGGATAGTGATAATCAAAAAGCTGCACAGTGGTGCTTGCTTTGGCAGCACATATACAAAAAGGTGCACAGTGACAAACGTCAATGGGGATGTGGAGCAGTTGGAACCCTCAGATGCTCCGCCGGTGGGGATGTGAAATGGTTTGGTCACCCTGGAAGATAGTTACACAGTTTCTTTCTTTTTTTTTTTTTCTTTTTTAAGGTTTTATTTATTTATTTATGAGAGACACAGGGAGAGAGACAGAGACACAGGCAGAGGGAGAAGCAGGTTCCATGCAGGGAACCCGATATGGGACTCGATCCTAGGACCCTGGGATCACGATCCAAGCCAAAGGCAGGTGCTCAACCACTGAGCTACCCAGGCACCCAGTTTCAGTTTCTTAAAAAGCTAAACACGCCCTTACCATGTGACCCAGCAGTCCTGCTTTTAAGTATTCACTCTAGAGAGATGAGATCATGTTCACATAAAGACTTGGATGTACATGATAAACACCCCATGTTCATCCACAGGACAGAGGGCCACTCAGCGTTAGAAAGGTACAGAGTCCTGATACAGGCATTCATTCACAGGGATGAATCTAAGAAGAATGATTCCTAACAAAAGACACCCAATTGAAAAGACTATATGTTGTACATTCCACGTGTCTGAAATTTCTAGAGAAGGCAAAATTTGGAGACAGCCTGGCGGGGGTTCCTTGGGCTCAGGCTGGGAGAAGATTGACCACAGTTGAACCCAAGGGGTCTTTCTCGGAAGAGGGCAGTGTCCTGAAACAGTGGCCGTGCTGTTCAAACAAGTATTTAAGTTTACATCCTCAAAGGTATGACAGATAGATTATACAGTATGCATATTATACCCCCATAAAATCATCACCTAGAAATAATTGTCCCCCTGGGCACACCTGTCCACGTCCCTCTCACATAAATGCTAGAGTTTTGAGGGTTCCATATGGGCCTTCTTCCCTCACTGCCTATACTCCCTCCTTCCCACACCCAGAGACCTTTCCATCAACAGCACAGATGATGCCTGGCACTGCCTCTCCATCCCCACTTGGCTCTCCTGGCTCCGCTCTGTTACCTTTCCATCTGTGTCCTCAACATCCCATGGTCTGAACTCCACATCCCCCAAGTAAACCTAGCACTTGGGCTAGGTTTCTTCTCGTTTGTGTCCCTATGAGAAGTACCACCCTCTGCCCCATGGCAGGGTTAAAAAGCACTGTCTGGTCTACTGGCCACATCAGTAAGATGACATTCTCCATCAGTGGAGTTTCCTGGTCACCTCTGGCCATCTGCCACATCCTTCATCCAGCCCCTGGCCTTGGCCTCCTCCCTGGTCCCTACCCCTACTCCCCCTGCACCCCACAGTTCTCCAGCCCAGAGCTGCTTTCAGTGCCCTGGCCTGGCCTGCAGCACCCTTGGCCCCAACTAACCTGGTAAACTCCCAACTACGCAGGTGGTAGTAGGCACCTCCCCCGACCGACACCCCCCCACCCCCCCCCACCCCGTGTATGCATCATCCTTCTGGCGGTGATGGCACATTCACCTCTGTCCAGGTCACAGCCATAGGGCTCTGCTCACATAGAGGCTCTAGCCAGGGCTTGTCAGGGAGCAAGTGAACACATACATGTTCTGAGAGGTGCTGGTTCGGCGGCACCATGGGGCAGAATCATTGTGTGAGGTGCCGGGTCTTGTGCTGGCCTCTGGTGTATCATTTTATTTTAAAAAGAAAAGACTCTTTTTTTTTCTGATTTTGAAAATGTCAGGAAACAAGAATTCCTGTCCCCTTCAGGGGTCCTTCCAGCTGGACTAAGACTCAGATAGACATGAGACCAACTAACAGGAGAAAATTTCGTTTAATAACATACACACAAGGGACGCCTGAGTGGCTCAGTGGTCAAGCATCCACCTTCAGTTCGGGTCGTGATCCCAGGGTCCTGGGATCAAGTCCCACATCAGGCTCCTCACAAAGAGCCTGCTTCTCCCTCTGCCGCTCTCTGTGTCTCTCGTGAATAAGTAAATAAAATAAAAATAGCGTACCCACAGGGAATCCACATGGGCATGGAAATTACACAGCTAGTCAGGTAAAATGAGGTATACATGTCATTTTGAACTAAGGAGAAAGGGGGCAGAAGTCTAGGACTAAAGAGGAAAGGAATGCACGTCACAGAGCAATAGAACAGATGGGCCATTCGGATAAAATTTGTATCTCTGCTCGTAACCTTTATTTTGGGAAAGACCCCCGCCCCCAATCTAGATTCTTCTATATAGTTAAGAGAAGGGCAGGTTTCTCTACAGCCCATAGAGTCTTGACTGCCTTCAGCCCAGAATAATCTCATGTCACAGTGGCCTATCTTGGGGCAGCCTGCCCTGGGTCCCCTACACAAAAAAACCCTACTCTCAGATAATGCAGGTAACGTGGAAAAGCATGGTCACCATCCCTGTGTCTCCCTTCCGCAGATCTGTACTGCACTCTGGAGGTGGACTCCTTTGGTTATTTTGTGAATAAAGCCAAGACACGTGTTTACAGAGACACAGCTGAGCCCAACTGGAACGAGGTGAGGTACTACTGCCAGGCACATCTCTAATGCTGGCCCTGGCCGGCAGGCCAGGATCTTGTCGTGGGGAGAATCTGAATGTATAAACCCATCCCAGCCAGCCTCCGCCTCAGCCCCTACCCCTGCCCCCGCCTCCACCCCTGCCCCCCCCCCCCCGGGGGCGGGGGCTCCCTGATAGCTTCCCCCCTGCAGGCGCAGCTGCCAGCATTCCACCAGCATTCCGGGAATCTCCTGGGAGGAGAGGGAGGCTAGTCCAAGAGATTTTATCTCTGTGTTCCTGAGAATCCAACCCTGCATCACAAAGAAACAGCCTATTTTGCTGGAGAAACTTAAAAGGGCTTTTTGTGCTGCCTTTGTTATTTTTTAGTGTTTACGTGGTAAGTTTCCTTAGCGTTTTTTTCCTTGGAAGTTGGAATGAACCCTGTGGCCCTCTTGGTTTCTGGAAGCCCGGGGCTCTGCTAGCAAGGCCTAGGGTAGGGACCCTATTTGCCTGTCCAGGCTGTTGGGTTTGTATGGTTTGCTGCTCTGTTTTCCTTCACTGTGGAGAGCTGTTGTGTTAACTCACTTACCGTCTCGCCCTGAGCTTTTGGGAGCAGGGGAATATTACAGAGTGGCCAATATTGGTGAAGTCCCCAGATAAGTGAGAATGCCATTTTCCGGTTTCTAGAGCAGCTGTGGCCCTCAAAGGCCTGATGCTTAAGGATATGGGTAGGGGCACACCACCCACTCCTCTACAAGAGCAGCAGCTCAGGCCCACCTGGCTGCCTAGTCCACCTTAGGTCATGTATGGTAGTTGGGTCGTGGGCCAGCACCCAGCTCTCCTTTCTTGACATGCACTGCTCTGATCATCAGACTCGCTGCCTCAGTAGAACTGGGGTCTGAGGAGTCCATAGGATTGCCCAGTCATTATAGTTCTGGGTGTCACTGCAGAAAGGGTGGTGGCTGTGGTGGCAAGGGAGCAGCACAACCAGATGGAGCCATTAAGGGCTTTGTAGAGAGCAAGAAGGCCTGACTGACAGGGAGGGGTTCTGGACACAGTGCAAAGGGTCTGGGTGCAAGCCAGCAGTGGAGGCTCAAGGAACCAGGGCACGGAGGCTCCCAGACCAGCAGATCACCTGGTGGCCGGCCTGGGTGTGCCTCTGGATCATCCAGGAGTGTTCCATGTTCTTTCACCTGGGCCCTTCCCAGCCCCATGCAGGCTCAGAAATCCCTCCTTTTTTTCCATCACCCTCTTTCCATTTCCCCACCATGAACCTGTGTCTGCAAAAGCACTGGTGTGAAATGCAGAATTTACTGAAGATATCCTGGGGTGATGGAGGAGAAAGCGAACACCACACATCCCACAGCAGACAACTCGAAAGCCTACAGGAGCAGTTCTTTCCTCTCCTATATCACCTCACTGGGTTGATTTTTTTTTTTTCTTTTCCAATAGGCTTATTGTTTAGAGCAGCTTTAGGTTCGCAGCTCTAGGTCCAGAGCAGAAAGGACAGAGATTTCCCATATACTCACTGTCCCCGAACATGCACAGCCTCCCCCACCAATCAGTGATCCCATACGCTACATCATTATCACCTAAAGTCCATAGAATATCTGCATTTGTAAGCACCACCCCTGAGCTTCTGATGCAGGTGGCATGGGGACTGCCCTTTGACATACTGATTTAGGGAGTTTGGATTACATGTGAGAGGCATTCAGAGCTTCCAGAAGCATCCACTGTCCACAATGGGATGCTCACAGGAAAGTAGCTTCTGAGGATCTTCGTCACGGAACAAAAGTGGAGAGGGTCTCCAGGTTCTTTCTGGGGCAGCAAGGAAGCCGTTGGACCTGTCTACTAATGAGGGGCTTTCCTTTTTTTCTTGGGGCTTCAGGAATTTGAGATCGAGCTAGAAGGCTCCCAGACCTTGAGGATACTGTGCTATGAAAAATGTTACAACAAAACGAAGATCACCAAGGAAGATGGCGAAAGCACAGACAGGATCATGGGGAAGGGCCAGGTCCAGGTGAGGCTGCCACCCTCCTCTGTCCCCCCACCTCCGACACACCCTCGTACACCTGCCCCTGGACCCCCTCCCACACCTCCTCCTGATGCTCCAAGTTCTTTCCCCAGTTCACCTTCTGGAATACTGAAATGGCCTGGCTCCAGGGGTTGGGGGCACATACCCTGGACTTAGCGAGGGGACCTTCACAGGGCTTTCCTGCCCCTCTCTGTGTTGGAGTATCTGTTATGCCCCATCTTATCCCCAAAGGAAGTTCAACTAGACTTGTTCTTGCATCAGGGGCCTCAGTTCCTCCATGGCTTGTAGTCTGTTGCCTCACCTCTGCAATTCTGTGCCCCACTCTGGGGAGGCCCTGATAGCCATGTGCCCTACAGGCATCTTACCAGACCCAGCTGAGCGGGCTCCTCCCCTGGGGGTGGGCACTGGCTGCTCTCTGACCCTCAAACCCACTGGTAAAGACTCCAGCAGGAGTGGCTGGGGATTCCAGGTAGCCAAGAGAGTAGGCCGCTCTCCACCAAGGCCCACCTCCCTCCCTCCCCTGAGGGCAGGAAGTCAAATCCTTTCCTGCTGAAACACTGAGCTGCAGGGTTGAAGGAAAGGGAGGGTGACTCACTCCTGTGTAATTTTATCTTAATGGGATAGTGGGGAGCCAAAAGCTCACCTTTCAAATTTTTTTTATTTATTTATGATAGTCACAGAGAGAGGAGAGAGAGAGAGAGAGAGAGAGAGGGGCAGAGACACAGGCAGAGGGAGAAGCAGGCTCCATGCACCGGGAGCCCAATGTGGGATTCGATCCCGGGTCTCCAGGATCGTGCCCCGGGCCAAAGGCAGGCGCCAAACCGCTGCACCACCCAGGGATCCCAAGCTCACCTTTCAAATGAGCAAGGCCTCACTTAGGTTAGGCGGGCTTCAGACCCCCCTCTCTGTTTTGCCAGATTCTCAGGTCTTAGTTCCCCAGGTTTACACAGCTGCCTGTTTTCCCACCCTGGAAGCTTATTTGGGAATTCAGTGGCTCAGGGCCTCCAGGGACCCATTCCCACCCTGTACCTTGAGACCAAGTCTAAAAGTAAAAATGCTTCTCTGAACACCTTGTACCTGCTCCCCCCCAGCAGACACCACCCAGAAAGTGGAAGGACACACCCACCATATAAAGATTGGCCTGGGGGGGGGGTGTGAAGCTGATGAAATCCTACACCCCACACCCCACACCCTCCCAGGAGAACAGGCCCAGGGCCTTTAGCCACCCCCACAGACAGGACCTGGGGCTGGACTCTCCCAAGGTCCAGGGTAGGACCTGCCTGGGGTAACACTCATGTGAATCCACATTGGGGTACACATGGGGATCAGTGGGGCAGCCTTGCCCAGCATAAGGAAAACAGGATTCTTAGCCCCTCTCTTGGATGGTATAACCCTGGGCGCAGGAGTTCCTGAGCAGACCAGGTTCAGCCACTCGCCACTAATAAAATCCAAAGGCAGAGAGACCAAAGGTGGTAAGAAAGAAAGGGGTTTATTTCAGTGAGGCCACCACCAGGAAGACAGCGGGCTAGCGTCTCAAAGACTGACTCCAAAGTGCTAAAAATACTTGTAGGTTTATAGAAGGAAAGTGTGGGACAAAGGTCAGTGGGTGCCTGCGAGTGGGCAGTAAAGGTTAGGCGAAGCATTGTCCTGGGGTCAGTCACGTGGGGTCTTGCTGAATTCAGAGCCATCTTCACTAGTTGAGGAGGCAGCCTTAGTTCTCATCATAGGATGCTTTGCCTGCAGGATCTTTTGCCTGAGTTAAGAGATGAGCTGGAAAGAACATAATCAATGAGGAAGTGTGGACCGAGATCGAAATGGAGGTGATTGAAATCCTCTTTCAATGGGCATGGTCTGTGAAGGCCAGTTGCTGGTTCTGGGCCGCTCAGGAGATATCCTGCACCAGGGTCCTACCCGTGGTTTACAAACCTGATATACTGTTGAGCCAGTAGTAGGGTCTTGGTGGTGGAAGAAGCAGAAATGCAAGCCAGTGCCTTTCAGTTGTTGCACTTCTGGGGTCCTATTCAGGGATGCTTGACAAATCAGGTCGCTTCCCCAGCCAGGGTCATGCCCATGAGCTGGGCGTGGGTCCCACCTTGACAGATACGTGTGCCCACTGCGAAGTTGGGGTGATGTCTAGGGGGTGGCTCACACGCTCAGTGTAAACACTCACCACTGTGCAGCTCACATGCGTTGACTCCCCAGTGTCCTTGAGACCCAACCCCGTACTTCCACATAGATGCTGTTCACCTTGGCTTGATAGAGAATCCCATGGGTTGAGTCAGCCACTTCAAGGGGCTCTTCTGCTCTTAATGGACACTCAGGTGTTTTCCAGATCTTGCTGTGTTCCGTAAGCATACTGGTGCTGGACATCTTCAAGGACTGACACGTTTGAGCAGCTACTGGGCGATAGTAACAGACATGTTTGGGCCCTTTGAGTTTTCAGTTCTCTGCTCTGCTGTTCGACAACTGATGTGTTCCCAGTGCTCCCCACCCTCCTCCCTCTCCATGTTTGCATCTGCCCCCAGCCTGGGGTCCCTCCTGCACACCCATACCCTGACTCCAGTCTTGCAGAGAGCCCCAAGGCAGGCTAAGGATACAGATGGATGGTGTCCGGCTCCTTTTTTCAGTCCCTCACATAAGACTAAGGGGAGGCTCAGATTCCACCAACTTTTGACTCAAATCATCCAGATCCTCCAATACTAGAGTCCTGGGGGTGGTGAGATTTGAACCAGGGCCCTGAGCACTGTCATTAGGTAATCAGGGGGTCTCTGGAGAAGAGAAAAGAACAGATACTCATCCTCTTCTTTTATTGTATCAATCTCTCTTTGGAAGCCCTTTGCCATGATACTACTGTATATAAACAAAATATTCCTTTTTTTTTTTTTTTAAGATTTTATTTCTTTATTCACAAGAGCCAGAGAGAGGCAGAGACATAGGCCGAGAGAGAAGCAGGCTCCCCATGGGCAGCCTGATGCAGGACTGGATCCCAGGATCCCGGGATCATGAACTGAGCCAAAGGCAGATGCTCAACCACTGAGCCACCCAGGCACCCCACAAAATATTCCTTTATGAACACAACTGTGCTCAGACGCACTGGGGGTGCCAGGTGAGCACCCTGCCCTGTCTTGGCAAAGAAGAGAGTGGTTGAATTGTGGGGGCTGACGTGGGGCATCACTCCAAGCTCTGGCTGTTCTCTGCCCCTTTCTGCCCTCTGACCCCAGTCTGTGCTTCCCCATGCAGGCGCTCTGAGCGGGGCTCCTTTGCAAAGTCTCCCTTGCTGTTCCTTTTAGTAAGATAAGATAGGACAGGGGTGGAGGACATGGACTATGTTTTTTTTTTTTATTTTTAAGATCTTTTTTATTTATTCATGAGAGACACACAGAGAGAGAGAGAGAGAGAGAGGCAGAGACACAGGCAGAGGGGAAGTATGCAGGAGCCCAACATGGGGATCCCAGGGATCCAGGATCAGGCCCTGGGCTGAAGGTGACGCTAAAGCGCTGAGCCACCTGGGCTGCCCATGAACTCTGTTTAAAAAAAAAAAATTTATACATGACCTCGTTACAACATCAAGGTTGACTGTATTCAGTGGGAGAGAGGTATAGGGCCCACCAGAGTGGCCTTTTGCAGCAGGAGAGAGATGGAGCCCAACTCTGAATCGAACAAGGAGAGAGGGAATTTATAGCCAAGGAGCAGGATCCAGGGGAATCATCAGTTGGAAGGTACTAAAGAGAAAGGTCTGGAGTAAGGGGAGATTCTGACTAAACCCACCTAACGGGCTCCTTGCTGAAAGCAGGCCAGGCAATCAGACATCACCAGGGGTGGTGGGGGTGAGGAGTCTGGTCAGGTGTCAGAGTCATCAGCTCTCAAGAATATCAAGGAGTGGTTTTTGCTAAAATTGGGCTCTTGGGGACATTCCCAAGAAGGAGGTCTGGTTGGAAAACAACCAGAAGAGCCTGACTCGTGTGGCCAGAGGGAGGCTCTTTCCACTCCCTCAGCCCCACTGCCCCTCCTGTGAGCTGGGGCAAGTCATCACTGCCCGGATAAACGTATTTCCTCACATGCAAACTGGGGCCAGGGCCATGGAGCCGAGTGTGGGGGTCTTCAGTGCCACTGCTGCTATTAATTACTCATTGTGGTCGGTGTTAGTGGAGATGGCGGGCTCTGGCTCCACCCCCTCCCTGTCTGCTTCCATGGAGTTGCTGAGTGAGTGGGAAGCATGGCCCCTGAGCCATCATTAGCCAGGAAGGAATCCCAGCATGACACAAGGTCCGTTTGTGATTCACACAGAGTAGGCAGTGGCTGGCCCAGTCCCTGGAGACCCCCATTCCCAGCGGAGTTTGTTTTCCAACTGGCATTCCCAGGAGGAAGAAGGAAGGAAGTCAGAGGAGGAGTGGTGATGGCCCCCTATGACCTCAGCCAGGCCTCTTTCTGCCTCCCCCAACCCCCGCAGATACTGTTTTCTGTGTGGGGCACACCTAGGGGAGGGTATCCATGATTTTGGGGGTACAGCCTTTCCAAGTGTATATTATTTCCCAATAATATTAGGCTTCTTCCAAGTATGCCATATGGAAGGGATATAGAGCCCTGCCCATCCTGTTGCTGGGGTCAAGGTGGGGGGTGATGAGAATAGCATGGCCTTCCCCCACAAGCGCCCCCCACAAGTGCCTCCCATACCCTCAGTATGTACATTGACTCATAAGTTGAGTATAAAGCCCGTCCTATGAGGTGGGGAAGGTGCATCACCACAGGAGTGTCCAAGGGGGGCCAGGGAAAAGTCCACAGCTGGCCAGGAAGGCAGAGGCTGGGCAGGCCCCTCTGAGGGGCCAGGGACGGAAGTGAAGTCTCCAGCAAAGCTCCTCACACACCTGACAGGGCAGAAGGTGCCAGTCATCTGGGGAGCTAGATCCCAACTTCCCAGGGTTGGTGTCCTAGATCAGTCCATGTTTGCTCACCTACATGGTGCTGATAAGCTAAGAGTTCAGGAG